TCATTTTTGGTGAAAAGTGATATTTTCGACTTCTTGTTAAAAACCGCAAGTCCAATTGCTTTGATACTACATATATAGGTACTACATGTGGACCTCTCTCAGATTTGTTTATTTCGTGATGATATCTTCAATTCTCTAATTTTGGTGAATATTTTTGTCATTTTTGGTAAAAACTGATATTTTCGACTTCTTGTTAAAAACCGCAAGTCAAATTGCTTTGATATTACATATATAGGTACTACATGTGGACCTCTCTCAGATTTGTTCATTTTGTGATGATATCTTCAATTCTCTAATTAATTTATTTTGGTGAATATTTTTGTAATTTTTGGTAAAAAGTGATATTTTCGACTTCTTGTTGAAAACTGTAAGTCCGATTGCTTTGATATTACATATATAGGTACTACATGTGGACCTCTCTCAGATTTGTTCGTTTTGTGATGATATCTTCAATTTTCTAATTAATTTATTTTGGTGAATATTTTTGTAATTTTTGGTAAAAAGTGATATTTTCGACTTCTTGTTAAAAACTGTAAGTCCGATTGCTTTGATACTATTCATATTGTTCATTTTCTAATGATGTCTTCAGTTCTTTAATTGAAATGTGCCTTGCTAACAGCGGAGCTATCTCAGCCGATAGGCTGCTTGTTTCAAGTTGTGATAAGTCATAGTCTAAAGTATCTCTCAATATACCTTATAAAACATCAATACTCAAAATTAAATATTCTGGTTCATATTGCATCTTTAACTAATACATTTATACACTGGTGGACATCTGTTTTATTTGTTGATACTTTTCGTTTTGAATGTTATTATGATGTGGAAGAAAAGTTGAACACATAGTATTGAGAACATTGTTGGATTTGCAAAGGAGATGATTGGTGGAATATCCCTTATTTGGTCAAGCCCATGTAAATATACATGATGCAGGCAAGCAGACAGGACAAGGCTAATATAATATTAAATCTTTGAATATGATTTTAGTTTATTATGTTAGGTATATGTAAATATTTCTATAAATATAAGCTGCTGACATTTTGTCATGTCTATTTTTAGACAATTTTGCCCGCATCTGCGCGTGATGTTTATTACCGTGATGAGATTGGTAATATCTCCACAAGTCATCTTAACGAACAAGATGAGTTTATTGAAGTTGAACTACGACCAAGGTTTCCTCTCTTCGGTGGTTGGAAGTCGCACTATTATATTGGTTATAATGTGCCAACTTACGAATATCTTTTCAATTCTGGTGAGTAGTGTTTATTCAACAGATGACCGATTCTCAGACAACTGAACACCTGGTAGTTGCTGGTGTTTGGTATAGTAATGGTGTCCTACCAAACAAAAATCCTGTTTTCTGTTCCTGTTCTTGGTGCACGTCAAAAAACTTGCGATAAACATGAATGTTGAAAAGCAAATATTAACCTCTGCTGTATTCTACATTAGGGGATGCCTATGTGCTTCAGATGCGCTTCTTAGATCACATCTTTGATGACCAAGTAGTGGATGAGTTGACTGTCAAAATTATCCTGCCTGAAGGATGCAAGTAAGTTCATTCTTTATATATTCCGATTGTGTGTGCATGTAATCTGGGTCTCTAGTATCCTGTTATTGCTCCAAATAACTCTATTCACTTCTTAGTATCCCAATTGTACTCCCAATGATTTCAGTTAGTTTTGTTTCATGCCCTCTGTGCATTTCTCAGATTTCCACACCTAGGATTGAGAATGATAAGTAATTTAGATGGAGGCACAGTATTAGTCAATGCAAAGCTACTTGCAATATCGTGTCTGATTGGCTACCCAACCCTAACATCTAATAGTCCAACCAATCAGAGAGCGGCTTGTTCAGCATATCAAATTCTTAACTTGATGCCTACTTGCTAAAAACCAAATGAGTAGTAGGTATCGGAGTAAAATTTTTCTCAAATCAAGGATAAGATGTATCTCAGTGGTAAACATTTTACTAATTGTGAATTCTGTTGCCTCACTTTAGACACAAAGCTCAAAATCCAGAGGTAACCATGTGTAATCAGTTGAAAGCATTAAGAGACGTTTTGTGTACATGTGGTTTCTGCTTGGACAGGTGTGTATCTAAAAATGCTACTGTAAACTAACCATCTGATTGCATGCTGACCCCATTTGTTTTCTGTTAATAGGGACATTGAGTTCAGACCACCGTACAGTGTGAGGCAGGATAGTATACAGCGTCATTATACATATCTGGATACTATGGGAAGACCTGTACTAGTCGCTCACAAATCCAATCTTGTGGAGCCCCACATCCAAGACTTTGAATTACACTATACATTCCAAAAGATCTTATTATTGCAAGAACCGTTATTAGTTGTTGGTGCTTTCTATCTACTGTTCCTAGTTGTCATCATCTATGTCCGTCTCGATTTCACTATATCCAAGGTAAGTGATGGCTTTCTGAAACTTTTGCTATTGTGTATATCGCTATCAGTTCACTGCCGTTGTGAAGACCACTGTAAAATCACTGCCGTTGTGAAGACCACTGTAAAATCACTGCTGTTGTGAAGACCACTGTAAATTCACTGCCGTTGTGAAGACCACTGTAAATTCACTGCCGTTGTGAAGACCACTGTAAATTCACTGCCGTTGTGAAGACCACTGTGAATTCACTGCCGTTGTGAAGACCACTGTAAATTCACTGCCGTTGTGAAGACC